ACCATCGTATACGTTGCCCCCACTATATACGTAACGTTCATTTCCCGTTCTTTCCGAATTTCTCTGCCACTTTCACTGGTTGGAAATTGCGCATCGCTCATAGTTAGACTCATTACACTCGTTATACTTGCGTTGTATTTTCTAGTTACTGACTTGCTTCATGTGCACAAAAATGTTAATCTTTATTTAAGTATTTAATTTTTGTTATATTAATTATAATTGATCATATATTCGAAATCCACTTGAAATATCTTAATCAAATTGAGGAGCGGGTTTCTCTAGCAAGTTAGAAAAATAGGTTATACATACATTGCTTATTTGTTGCACAATAACATAATTTAAAAAACAAAATTTTCCAGAAAATCAGTTTAAATGTTTTGAATCACTAAAATTTGTAATATTATTTTTAAATGCTATTTTGGTGTGACTGTAGAAGATTGTAGAAGGATAAAAGTATCTAGCTGTATATTAGCTCTTTACTGAATTGTCACCATTCTTTTGCAAACAACTAAAAAATGACGATTTTTTATATTGTTATTGTAGCAAATGAGTGAGATGGTTAATATTATGCGATGTGTTTCGAAGCTACTAATATCTGATTCGATAATATTTTATTTATAATATTTTGTTTTATTCAACGAAAAAAAAATAGATTTTACAAATTATATCTTTCAACTATTTAAATATTAGAAAGCACGTTGTGTCTACACCTCGGTTGTATATATAGATGATCTTCAGCCTACGTGTAAATCATAGTTCAATGTATTCGGCCAATCCTTCTTCCACAGCATCCCACGGGGTTTTGCCGATGAAGTCGCGAATACCGCGGACCATTCGTTTTATATATTCGCTCCAATCGAAGTTACTCATGTCGAATTCGAATATCTCGCGATCTACTGCGTTCATTCGTTCCCAAAGCTTGACCACCGCGTCATTCCTGAAGCACCATTGCTGCGTCATAAAATAGGACGTCGCCGAAAGATGAGCATGTATCAGATCGTAGGTCTTGTACCATCTGAAAATCAGAAAAGGATCTTTGAGAGAATTACAAAATATCAGAAACGCGCACGTTATATCTTGCGTTATAACTATTTTTATAAATTTTCACGAATTTTTCAAGCGTCTCCAAGTATTGGGACAGCGAATTGCTCGAGGAGCGTCTCGGCATAGCTCTGATGATCCGTAAAATGTATCTAAAAGAAAAAAAGAAAAGAAAATACTCGACCTTGGATCTCGGCCGGTGAGAATGGCCGTCCCGTCCACTATGACCGCGGGCAACAAGTGGAACAGGCACATGAGAATCTTGTGCACCCACAGTCTACTGTTCCAAAACATGCACTGCAGCCGTATATCTCTTACACCCGGTATCTTTGATCCGTGGGCGCGTACGTGTTTTCGAAACGTGTCCCAGGTTATCGGCCTTTGACAGGACGACACATAATTGTACACCGATACCTTTTCCACGTCCGGCACAACGCCCGTCTCCACGTCCACTTCAAATTCTTTCTTGATGTTTCTACCAACAAATTTGATCTTTATTTAAATTTTAATTTTTGATAAAGTGCCGAATTTTCGAATGAATCCTCAGATTCTATATCTTAATTAAAAGTAAAAAAAAATATTAAAAGCTTTCCATGCGTTTCTGCGAAACCGACACGTTGTATAATTGAAGACGAAAATATGTTTGGTGAAACTTTAGAGGAAAATGTGTTCAGTGAAGTTTAGATGAATTTCTGAGATTACATATTGAAAAGAAATTAGAGTGAAAAATTGAAATATTTTTTCTGACAGAAACTCATTAGTATATTAGTATATATTGTTATTTGCGTATAGAGATTATTTTTTATTATTAAATTATTTAAATCCTGTCTATTTGGATGCTCATTAGCATCAATTGCTAGTCGGCGTCGCGCAGCCGCCTTAATAAAAAAGCGGCATTCGTTAATAAGTAGATTAATGGGCTCACCTCATGCTGGTGTGCCAGGCGGCGGCGATCAAGCACGACGTCACGTAATCGGCCGGTACGAAGTCGAGGTTTTTGTCGGTGTGGCAATGTATCGTGCGCAATAGGCCGAGACTCGAACTGACCAAGAGACCAATAGGCCCGTATACACTGTCGGCCCAACCCATGATCGGCTCGTTCCAGGTCGACGTCACGATAGACGGTCGCACGATGCACACCGGCATTCCGCTGCCGTATCGCAGCACCGTATCCTCCGCGATCGCTTTCGTAAACGTGAACGTGTTGGGCCAGCCGCCGATCAATCTGCGTCCGAGTTAAAAAATTCTGTGAAAGATCGCGCGCACATAAAATGGAAGGGAAAGCGTTCCTTCGTCTCACGTTCTCTCCGAAAAGGCAACGTTGGATATATTGTGGAATTTGATCGACATGGGTGCGAGTCCCCAAGTTTAATTTGTAAATTAATATTTCATTATATCTGGATGACGAGCGAAGAAACTCGCTCGTGCATACTTATTTTTATTTAAACAATATTATTTTAAATGAAAACTTTTTTTGTTGAGGTACTCACGACGGTGTAATAGCATCCAACTTTTTATCGTTCAGGACATTCACCAGCGATAATAATTCGTCGGTTTCCATTGGCGGGGGATAGTGTTTCTCCTCAATAGATTTGATTGGCGAGTGAGCAAAAACCGTCGACAGGTGAACGAAAGCCTAAAAGTGTCGTGTCACTTTGCAACTTATTGCGACGACCTCTTGACACGATTCTTACGGTAACGTTATTACGAAATCGTTACCTTGAGATTCGGCATTTCTCTCGCGAGTAGCAATATTTGCTTCGTGGCCTGCACATTGACGTTTGTCATGGTACGAAGTCTTTGATTAGATCGTACAATTGTTGCACCGTGAAAGATAACGTTTGTGTCGAGCAATCTGTTTCGATCTTGCTTAGATAAGCCCAAGTTTGTCGTATCCAGATCGCTCTCGATCACTATCAATTTTTGTAAGAAATCCGGCTGTTCTTTCTTCAATTTCTCATATAACTGAAAAATACGACAATATTTTTTTAATAATCAATGTAGCATAAGTAACAATTGTAGCAACGATATAATCATATAATTGATAATATTATTACGTACATAAGTAATAAATATAACGTGAAAATAATTATGTTATATTACTGCCACAATAATAGAGTGATTTTTTTTTAACGAGTTACTTTGTCTTATTAAATATAGAATATCTATTCTATTGTCTTATAGAATATTATCTCCAATCAAAAAATTAATGAATCTTACAGGCATCTCTTCAAGTTGTTGCACGCGTTCGTGAGGATTCTTTCCATCTTTTCCTCTCACAAATATGTACAGTGTCGCGATGTTTGGGCAACATCTGTGTAACATTTTGCGTTAAGCAATGATAATTTAACAAAAAGATTTTTCGATGATTTTCATCGTTTAATCGATTGATAATTTTTGTACACTTACCGCAGTAATTTCTCGATCAAAAGCTTTCCCAGAAAGCCCAAGCCAACCGTTATAAGGACTTTACGTCCCGAGAAAAATTGTGCTATTTCACTTTCCGTCAACTTGACCTGAGGCTTGTCGCTAAAACGTTAATATCTCACAATTATTTTTTATTTAAAAATTTCTAAGATTTTTAAAATGATTTTCCACGGAAATAAATATTTTTGTCATAAATATAACTGTGTTATTAGTTGGAAGGCACATTTTCCGAAACAATGGCTTTTTACGATACATAATTAATATACATATTTAATATAATATTAAACTAACTATACATTAGAATATATTTATATAATTTATAATTTATAATAGTTATTATATACTGTAATATTTTTATTCTATAAGAGATTACAATATTAAATTGCTGGTGATAGCTGATGTATAGTATAACATAAACATTGAAATACTCTTACGCTTGATTAGACATCGCGGTTGTTGGAAATGCTCGTGCTTTGAGGAGATCTTGAACTTCTCGATGTCACCCTTATCGACGTTAAACTTCGACTGCGAACTTATTGCGGTGCACCTCGCGAGACTGAAATCTCATTGTGAATATTCAAATCTAGAAAAGAAAATAACGGTGTCATTGGCAAGTCAAATCGAAGTCGTATAATGGATACACACGCAAGATGACTCGACGTTTCGGAAATACGCCGTTCAAGTTTTGACGTTTGCTATAGTTTATCGATTACTTCGCTCGATCGTGATACGCGTAGGTAATTTCTTCGGACAGTTTCAAACCAAAGATTCTCTGATGTAGCCAGTTGGAACGAATTATTATTTAAATAACTAAAACCTGTTTATTTCATTTAAACGAACTGAATTAGAAATATCTTTATCGTAGTACTTTTATATAAGATCGAAAAAATCAAGGGCCCAATTATATATATACGCAAGGAATAATTTAACGCCAGAATTTTTTAAAAATTATGCTAAATATAAAGTGTCAGGTGTATTAGAAATACCAATGCAAAGTCTCATTAAAATCAAAATTTGCAAATTAATTATCGAGTTTTCACACAAATCTCTAAGGCTACAGCTGCGACTTCCAAGACATTCAGGGTGTACGACGCGATATGGCGTCTGACGAAGCATTCACGTAGTCTCGCGTGAAGTAATATCGCTAGAAGAGGCGTAGGTGCGCTATAAAGGTGTACCCGTCGTTCGAAGGCAAAGAAACATCGTGAAGAGGAAAAAGATAGAACGTGTGCGCGCGCGCACATACACACACTTGATTACCCGGTAAATCGAGAGATAGAGAAGGAAGGAAGTAGGCGAGACTCGTTGCACGAGGACGACGAGGGTGGAAGAGGAGAGCACGGGGTACGTTACTCTCCCCCGGGGCCCGCCACTCGACCTCTCTCGTCCCCTCCAGCAGCGCGCGAGCCACCGCTTCTCGCTTACCCCCTCCGGCGGTCACCGCCGGGGTCTTACGACGCAGCGGAGGGGTACGCGCGTCACGCATGCCTCCATTGCCTCCTCGTGCTCTCACACTCGCTTCGTCGGGCCGGTCGCGCGCACGTGCGTCGTCGTCGCCGCATCTTGCCGATCTCGCTCTCAACCGCGATCGTTTCCAGCGTATTTTCGTACTCTCGACGTCTGTCGCAGTGACACATTAGATTGATGGTTGTACGTAAGACAACGATCACACTGCAAGTGCACCAGAAAATCGAATCGAATCGGACGTGCAGAGTTTTTTTTTTCTACAAGCGTGCCGGAATGTGATCACGCGGTGTGGTGTAACTTTGAACATCCCTGCTGGCACTTCTGCTGGTTTTCGATCTGATGGTGAACATCGGGTAGAGGACTACTTGATATGTGAGCGATCTTTCTGCAGATATAACATTGTGTAAATCCAGTGCGCGATTTTCATCGTGTCGGTAAACGCATTTCAGCGTAACTGTGTCGATCGAGTGCTTCGTCGCGAGCGTAGCGTCGATTTCGAGTCGGAATCCGAAGATTCTCTGCTATCGCGGAGCTCCGTGGACGAACAAAGACAGCGAAACCGATAACAGGGTGTCGATAGCGCCGACGTTAGTTATTGTTTCCGATTCCTTCTCGATCTTCAGTTTCTATCTCTATCGATGTGTGACATTGTCGCATATAGACATTAACAGTTAATTGTTAACCAAATCAGCTACCCGTCATCGTCTGTTGATCGATAGTGTTTGACACCGATCTCGATCGCGGATCGATTCCGAGACTGCATGTGAGCAAACCAAAGGTCTACGTTCGAGCAAGAACCTTTCGCTTCCCGGAAAAATCGGAGCGATACAAAGAACGAAAGATAATAGCGCGTTGTCTTCTCGCTCGGAGGATTACTCGCCTCGTGTCAGTAATTCAGTCTGCTTTCATTCGCTCGCTGAAAGTCGAGCTTGTTTACATCTCCCTACTATTTTGTATTCTGGTGTTTTTGCAATCGATCTATCGTCGGAATTCGGCATCGTCGAATTGAATGAAGTCTGTGTTCCATTGTACGAGATTCGCTATTTAATTACAAAATTATTCGAAAGGAGTGTGACTATCTCGAGTGAATTCAGTTCTCGTAGCTTTCTACGACTATGTCCTTTTTGAGACAAGCAATAGAGAAACTTGTGCATTTCATCTGTTACCTGAATAAGAAATGTTTTTGTATTATTTTGTTTGAGAAGCACAGGGAACGAAAATTCCAAACCTCTATTCTAATGAACCATTAGTTACATAGGTACTCTTTTGTGTTTGATATACTGTTCTTTTGTTACTACATCGTACCTACGTTAAAGACACCATCTACCTGTTACTGCTACTCACAGATTAACAAGAACTAGAAATTGCCTCTGCGAGAAAAAACAAGACGCATTGGAGTGAGGAATTGAGTGAAATCTAACGATATCATCACGTTATACGAAGATACGTACGGCTATATATTTTTATGTATATATTTTGTGTCGATAACGAATTATGTCGTAAGATTTAAGATTTTAGTTAATAAAAACGGTATACTCACATTCGCTATAAATTCAAATAGCAAGTAGCAAATAGCCAGTTGTTGAACCAGAGAATAGGTAACAGAGCAAATTATCGGCGCAACCAGATCGACATCTCACGCGAGATCTATCGCTATTTTCTGGCGATAACGATCCACGTGCTTCTTATCGATCTACGTGCGCCAAAAGCAGACGAATCCAGCGAGAGGCTATCCATCAAGCGAGTACTTTTCGGGCCCGCAGGCCGCGTGCGCGGAGAACGTTCTTATCTTGATAATGGTTATCGAATAGACGAGAGGCCGGAGACTCGAGTCGAGTAAAAGAAGAAAAAGAAGACGGAGAATCACCGCGAGAATCATCGAGTGGCGGAGGACGACCTCGAGATAAGGGAGGACAGCAACGGGGAGGAGCTCGCCGATTGTAAATTATATTCACCCGCGCGTCGCAACTCGCAACTACGGGGAAAAATCGGCCGAGCGGACGAAATAATTATTGTGCGCGGCTTTCCATCTCTCTTTGTGCACGTATGCGGCGAGAGAAAGGGAGAAGGATTAATCGCACCATGCCGATCGCGACGTGAATCGAATGCGAGGTCCGCCACGTCGTCGTCGAAGGGCGGAGAACGCGCCTGTGCCTGTGGCGCAAAGTGATCGGCAAGGTGTCGTCGCGGCGATCGTCCGTCGTCGAGCAAGAGGTGAAGGTGGTGAAGAAGGTGGTGGTGGCGAAGGAGTGGGACTCGTCGTCTGGATGCCAGTTCTCGAGGGCGGAGTGCGAAAAAGGGCCGTGCGTAAAATGCGGATGAGAATCTGCGCCGCGACCAAGGAGTCCTACACGCTCCTCTCCAAGAAACGGTAAAGATTCGCTTCTTTTTCAGATCTTGTTCTCGCGCAGCGCCAAGTTCGTTATACCGAGGAGTCTTCCGATCACGGAGAATAATTGCGAACGCTAATAGAAAATCTTCACGTCCGATTGCGCACGATAGCGCTCTTGCGACGAGCATGTGCGCGCCTCATCTTCCGCGTCTCGTTGCTTTTCTCTATTCGCGCGGACCTCGTTCCAGTTCGCGCACTCACAACTCATTTAAACGCCCGTGACTGCGTCCCGCGTACCGATTTCGTACCGCGTACCGTCAAACGATGTCCGTTCTCTTTTAGCGATACGCTAAAGTCGAGCGGCGCAGCGGCCGTGGTTACAGTTAGGACGTACGACGACCGTACGAAAGCGGAAAAAGAAGACTCCGGGACTGGAAGAGGGGGAGGGGGGCGAGTCGATCAAACCCGTAATCATAATTTACGGACGAAATATTTATGGACTGTCATTTCGTAAATTACCGCTTGAGATTACGGCTCGTTACACGGCTGCACTCGTGCGCGCGTGCGCAATATCGGGAGTGAAAGAGAAAAAGAGAGAAGAGAGAAAGGAAAGAGCGAGGCCGAGCCATGTAACGGACATACTCTAACTTTTAACGACGTTGCGCACTCTCCATGTATGAGAAGAATGACGACGCGAAATTTCACGATCCATCGCAAATTCTCCAAAATTCTACTTTTGCTTGGTGCACTAACGATTATATCGCGATTGCACGATATTTTGCTTTCGAGTATTAACGGTTCACTTCGCATAACGACAGCCTTTCGGATAGTTATTTTGCAAAAATTTGAATATTTTTTAATTTTCAAATGTGAGGAAGGTTTCTAATGTTCTGGGAATTGTGCTCTAAATTTTTCATTTTATTTATTTTTGTCAACATTACGTTGTAATTTTTCAATATAGTTTCCATAAAAATGTATCACATCACTTATCTCAACGCGAAACTATTTTTCTTAGGTCATCTTTGATGAGAAACATTTAAGAGATGGCTTTTATCGCGGCGCAATTGTTACAACTTTGGAAATATCCTTCGTAAAATATTAGTTTATTACTTTAGTATTTTTTTATATCAACTTACCACTTGTGTTGTTTAAAAATTATTGAATTCTATTACATCTTCGTCTATCGCGGCGCTACTGTTGGAATCCTCGTATACTCCAGTAACATTTTACGTACGATCGTGTAACTAAATACGAATATGTAATTTTACGGCGCTATTTTCCATACGTAAATCAGATGTTTGTGACATGTAATCACGTACGTTTAGAAAAAAATACCGGGAGGATACTCGACACTGAATGGATGAAATGATCGATACTCCATTAAGTTTTCTCGTCTATATAGTATACGCAGTATACGCACGATCGATTTACGCGGCGGTCTCGACTCGAGCGATTTGCCCGCGGATAGGAATAACTTTGCTCGATCTTTAAAACATACGTGAAGATAAATGCGGCACGCAAGTCGCTCGGAAAATGTCTCGCGATTGTTGCGTGATCCGGCATATATTTGCAAGTTCGATCCGAAGCGAAAGTCGTCGTTTAAGCCATTATGTCCACGAGGCGACGACGCGGCGAGATACATACCCGGCGCGTTTACCGCCGAATGGAATTATAATAATTTGTGGCGCGTCGTCATAAATATTCATTCGCACGTAGATGTGTACTTCGGCTATTTACACAGCCACGTATAGAGGATTCTAAACAACCCCCTTGGAGATTTTCGGTATCCGATTACTATTGACGATGTGTATACGACGGATAACGACTGGGAACTGTCTGTGCGTTTTATTTTGTTGGAGTACGCGAGCGAATGCTTGACAGCTGTTCGCCAAGAGAATGAATTATTATCCTTTTTATTGCTAGTATCGTAGACCAACACAACACATGATCATTAGCATCAACATAATTCGCCTTTAACATAATCAGCGAAATTTAAACGAAAGAGAAGATAAAAAAAAAATATATATATAGTATAATAATATCTGTTAATTTATTTTAATGATAATCTGTCGGTTAACTTAATTTAATTTAATAAATAAATTGCGAACTGCAAGGCATTCATTAAATTGAAATCGATCTTAATGTCAGTCTTAATTTATTGTCATAGTACTCAATGAAGAATCACTGCACAAATGCAAATATCGCAGCAGCATGGGGAATAATTAAACGATACATTGAATGCGTTACAAGAAATTGAGAAGTATTGAAACCGTGAAGCCGTCACTCTTAATACTAATTTAGTAGAAAGGGAGGTGGGGCCTGAGAATGAGACACAAAAGGGGTGATCCCTAGGGGTGCGCAGGTATAAAGGCAAACATCGTTCTCTCGTTTCGTGATCCGAGATGACACGCGATTGCTTCAATGTAACTTTCGAAAACAATTTTGCGCGGAATATTTATTGCCTGGGGGAGATGAAATGGACAAAGTTAGATATGCGAAACGCGACATACGTTACAAGCCTTAAACCTTCTAAATTACAGCTCGCTCTAAAAATTTTTCTGTTTGTTTGAAATGATAATTTTTTTCTGCATATTACTTTTTACATACACGATATGCAGATAGAATTTTTATGATCTGTACCATTTGTGCTTGTATTGATAATGATACAGACAGATGCAGGTGTAATGTGTAATAGACGTACCCCATGAAATATAATCAATTCCTATGTCAAAGCGTGTTAGCTAAATCTAGGTTTATGACTTCAACCGTAATGAAGATATTATTGAAGATATTATTTTTCTATCCTCTTTCTCTAGCCAATAAGCTTCAACATGTATATTCGAATGAGGGCATTAGAGCACTTATGTCCTTCAACGTAAACGCGATCCTGATGCCGCGATTGACACGACAACACATGTCTCGCGCAATTACCTCGCAGTTTTTTACCTTCACATTTCATTAATTTCTGACTGGTGAGAGGCTTCGATCGCTTGCCTAGTGTCGCGTCCCGGCGTTTGAGATTGCACTCGCGAATATTTTCCCGACAAATCTCCGCTCGTGCCGGATGCATGAAAGGACGCGCGTCTACAGAGTGTCTCGTATTCGTCCATCCTTTTCATTCATTTGATTTCTCACGCAATCCGAGTCTTTGAAAGAAATGTATTTAAGATTTTTATCATTCTCATTTAATATATCGATCGATACTTATTCCAGTTGAAACTTAATTATTGAGATATTAAAGTTGAAAACTGAATCACATTAATATAATATATCGAAAGCTTTCAAGACAGGATATCTGAACCTCTGTAAATTATTGCTAAAGAGAATTCTGTTCAAAATTGTCGCCACGTTTCTTTGAGCAAAGATAACAAGGTAGATACGAAACACCCCGTATATTAACACATAAGTCGAGAACAAGTAACTGTGTGTTCGCGATATCTCTGACTGTCCGCTCTCTTCTCTCCCCTGTATCGTCTCGCTCCTACTCTTCTCTTCCCTCTGCTTTCGTCTTGTCCTCCTTGTAAGTACGCGTCCGCGCATGTTGCAACTGCCACGCCACAGTCCATGCGTGTCGTCGTCTCTTCTCTTCCTTTCTTTTTAGCCTCTTCCTCGTCTTCTCCTGGGATCCTTCTAATAATCGAAGTACTGTATCGCATCCCTCGGACCATATAGTAGTAATGTTCTGGGCCGTATTAGCGGCTCATTTGTCGCTATCTTAATTATTTTAATCGCACCGTGAAATTGATCTCACAGAGTTCCCAAATACACTAAAGATGAACGCTTTTACGTTAATTATTTCGATATTCAACAATTATTCACGTTTTTTAAGTAATCAGTTCAATCGTATAGTTATTTTACCTTCCTCGTAATTGTACGATCATTTAAATAACTATATAAGTACCGTTAATATTTTATAATTACTATCTTAATTTGTATATTTGGGTATCATTTTTTATTAGAAAGTAAAGATATTGTAAAAATTAAAAGAAAAAAATATACAAATATGTTCCTACACAAATAATGCATCATATTTTACATACAATTGAAAATAATAGGATATTAATTCTAAGTAGAAAAGAACTTTGCAGCGCTTTGCAGTAGCGCATATAGTTTGCTGCAAAGATATCCGAGGAGATAGTTAATATTGTAAAATTTATATGTTTGTGTGTTCTTTTTCGACGCACCGTATTTTATGGCACTGACCACGATATGTGTCGCGGGGAGATGTCAGGATAAGGATGATAGTAGGTGAAAGACGATATTTTATATATTGAAGGAACAAGGTAACTTTTATTACTCTATAGTTGCACAACGACGCGTACGTGACTAGCGTCCAACAACGACTGACTTCACACACTGTTCTTTCTCACTTTCCGCCAATCCAGGCGTTCCTTCTTGCGCAGAACGCTACGGCGCACATCAGTACTTCAAGCGACCAATCATCTAATAAGACTCATTCAATCACGGTGTAACGATATTCTTACAATATATACTACGCGGAATGTATCGCGGCAGCAGATTTGCGATTGAACAAACGCCCTTACTCCCTGGCGAAAAAATTATGTCGTTATATAACGGTTGATGCGCTCGATCTTTTCCGTTTCTTATGCCTTGCCGACGTTTCGCTCGGAGAATTATCGGATCATCGCGCCGGAGTGGCGAGTACAGTTATGGAAATGAATGCCCAGTCACAGCGGCTTATAAACGTGACTTATGGATGCTGGAAGGATAGTCCTTTCACGAAACACCCGTCCGGTATACTAAGCAATACTAAGCACGATAGGTACAAATCGATGGATCAAGAGCAAGATGTTAAACGTGAAAAGCAATATGTGCCACATCACGAATCCTTTAATTAACGTGAAAAATGCCTTGTCATAGACCGCAGTTAAATTGGTTACGACTCACGGATATTCAGGATATTTTTTACATTACCTTTATCAGTGAATTCTCGGTATTAAATTTATTCTATACGCACATATTACTTTGTGCGATATACGTACTACTTGTTTGAATACAAAAAGCAATAAGGAAAGTAG